TGTGTGTGTGTGTGTGTGTGTGTGTGTGTGTGTGTGTGTGTGTGTGTGTGTATGTGTGTGTGTATGTGTGTGTGTGTGTGTGTGTGCAGGAATTCTGGCGGTTCAGCACCACCATGTGCTCGGCTCACCCCTTGCGGACCCTGGACTCTATCGGAACAGACGGAAGCACAAGTAAGTTACAGCATTGTGGGTGGTTGGTGGGTGTTTTGGTGTGGTTTCCAATGGCATGCACTGTATTGTTTCTTTTCTCTACGACCAGGGTCACAGTTTTTAGTCTTATACTGTACACACAAGCAGGTGGTTGGTGGGTGCTCTGGTGGGGTTTGCTCCTTCTTTGCTATCAAACATCTGTCGTCATTATTCCTCTCCTTCTTTTTTGTGTTTGTTACTCTCTTGTAACACCTCTAATCTTTGGCCCATATATGACCTTGTTGTGTTTCAAGTGCCGTAAAACTCTTACGAAAAAAATACTACATTATAATATCTCACTGTCATTGTTCCCACCCGTTTATGTACATTAAGTTTTAGTTTAAGTAGTAAAAGTTTTACGACACTTGCAAATCAATAAGGAGGCCATAGATCTATATATGCGTGCCGAAGATTAGATGTGTTACTAGAGAGTGACCAACACAAAAAAGAAGGAGGGGAGATAAAGACGATAGATGTTTGATAGGAAAGATGGGGCAAACCGAAGTAGAGCACCCGCCAACCACCCGCGTGTCTGTACAGTATTATATAAGACAAAAACTGAGACCCTGGCCCTAGAAAAACGAAACAATACAGTGCATGTCGTGGAAATCAATTTGCTGCGTGTTTAACTGTGTTTCATTCTATTGAGGTAACAAAATGTATTAATCCTGCTCTTTTTTGTTGAGGTAACAAAAACATAATATTATTATTGATCCTGCTTTTATTTGTTGAGGAAACAAATTGTATTTAGAATGTTCTTTTCTTTCCTTCCTTTTAATCATACACTCCATGTTAGGTGACAATTCAGTTGTGATGTAACGAATAAAATAGGACAATATAAAATAAATCAATGACGAATTAAATGGATTGTTGGAGAGATCAGTGGGTGGTTGGCAGGTGCTCTAGTGTGGTTTGCTCCTTATTTCCTATCAAACATCTATTATCTTGATCTCTCCTCCTTCTCTTTTGTGTTTGTTACTCTCTTGTAACGCCTCTAATCTTCGGCACTTATATGACCTTATTGTGTTGCAAGCGCTTTTATTTGCTCATGTAACAAATTGTATTTTTTAAATAATTCTCTCTTCTTTTTTTTCTTAAACGTACACTGCATGTTAGGTGACAATTCTGCTGCGATGTAACTAACTGAATATAATGTTAAATGAATCGATGACAAATCCAACAGCTTAAAGGGATCAAACAAATAAACGTTCCTGGACCTGGCAGTGTTACGCTCACTTGAGGCCATACTGTAATAAGACTTTTGGTTGTAAAATGATCGGTTATTACTTGCGTGATGCTTTTGTCTTGGTCATGATGATGATGGTGATGGTGATGGTGATGGTGATGGTGATGATGATGATGATGATGATGATGATGATGATGATGATGATGATGATGATGATGATAATGAGAAGGACAATAACAAGGACAAATCAATGATGGTAATGGTTATCTGGTTAAGTTTGTGAGGAGGTTGATGATGGCGACAACAACAAGGATAATGATGATGATGATGATGATGATGATGATGATGATGATGATGATGATGATGATGATGATGATGATGATGATGATGAATGTCTCTCTGTCAGACTGGGACTCGGCTCTAATGATCATCGTGAACGGAGAGAAAGACGACCATCTGGAGATGTTGGAGGGAGGCGTGATGAGACAGCTGCTGGATGAGAAGTGGAAAACCTTTGCTAAGGTACGTTCATTTTTGTCCCTGTGGCTTTGTTTCTCGCTTTTCTCTTTTCTTAAATTTAGTTTTGGTTTGGTCTGGTTTGGTTTCGTTTGGTCTTTTTGGTCTTTTTTTGTGGGGGGGGGTGTTTGTGGTTTTGGTTTGTTTGTTGGTTTTTGTTTACATTGTTTTGTTTTGCTTTGTTTTTTTCGTTCATGTTTTTGGTTTCTTTTGTTTTTTTGTTTGTATTGTTTAGTTTTGGTTCTTTTTGTTTGGGGGGGGGGGGGTGAGTCTATACCAAAAAATATGATAATCATGAGCTGAATTCAATTAATCGTGAACTCTATACCGAATGTCAAGATACGTCATTCTTGCTTTGAACCTAGGATTTCATGACGTGAGTTTTTGTGTGGTTGCCTAGTATAAAGTGGTGTTGTGATTAGACTCTTCTTTGAATTCATGTGCTGAAGATCTGAGTTCGATTCCCACGTGGAGAAGCTCCTCATCAAGTATGAGTATTTCCACCTCTCTTCTGGGGTGATGTATTGCACTAAGGTTGGGTTGTAGGTGGTTGGCGGGTGCTCTGGCGTGGTTTGTTCTTTCTTTCTTTTCAATCAAACATCTGTTGTCCTGATCTCTCCTTCTTTTTTGTGTTTGGTACTCTCTTGTAAGTTGTGGTTCATAAGACGCATGCTACGTATCCCATGGACAGTTAGAAAAACAAATGAAGGAGTCTTGGTTGAAGCAAATTGTAGAAGACAGCTGGTGACGAATATAAGAAAGCGACTGGCAAATTTCGTCGGACACACAATGCGGAAAAAAGCATTGGAGAATATTGTAACAACAGGCAAGTTTGATGGAAAGAGAGGCAGAGGCAGACAGAGAGAAAAGATTCTGGACAAGATGACAACATGGCTGAGAGCAGCAAGAACGACAGACACCATTTCTGCAGCGCAAGACAGAGTGAAGTGAAGGTCCATGATCGCCCACGCCAGTCGGCAAGGCAGGACAGAGTGAAGTGGAGGTCCATGATCGCCCACGCCAGTCGGCAAGGCAAGACAGAGTGAAGTGGAGGTCCATGATCGCTCACGCCTGTCGGCAAGGCAAGACAGAGTGAAGTGGAGGTCCATGATCGCCCACGCCAGTCGGCAAGGCACCGTATGATGACTCTCTTGTAACTCCTCTAATCTTCAGCACTCATATGACCTTATTGGGTTGCAAGTGCCGTAAAACTCTTACTAAAACTTAGTTTCGGTTGTTCTGAGAGGCAGAGTCACTGCAGCCCGGCTCCTAAATGATCTATATCGTGTCATTGGGGGCGTAAAACATTAATTATGATAAATGACAGACGAGGTAATCATGACTGATATGAGCACGCTATTTCATGAAACTGTTTATCTTGTTAATCACGAAAAATCTCGGAGGATCCGTGTGCGAGTTATCCACGTTAATGATCCGGTGGTTGTCTAAAATCAATTAGAGTAGGCTTCGGCCGCCACCCGGGCAAAATTCAAAAGTTCCTAACTACTGAAAATATTTATGTGTCCCGCATGCTCATATAACCTTGTGCAGTTGCGAGCGCCGTAAGTCACTTTAAAAAAACAACTAAACCCATTAATAAAGAAAGCGCCGTCTGAAACAAGCTTTTATGAAGCCAGTCTCATTGTTAAGATTGATCAAGCTGTTTTGTTTTTCCCTCATTTTTTCTCCTGTCTTTTTTTTGTATTTGTCTTAGGGTTTTTTGTTCTTTTTTTCTTTATTTTCTTTTACACTTTGTACTTTTTTCGTATTTTACTTCATTCTTTTTCCTTTTCTTTCCTTTTTCTTTTTTTCCCCCTTCATTTGCTTTCTTTTGTTTTTGTCAGTGTCTTTCCTCTATGGTTCTTTCCTTCTTTTTTTTTCATTCTATCTTTTCATTGCTTCCCGTCCATTCTTTGTCCTTCTCTCTGTTCTTTCTTTTTCTTTTCGTCTTTCCTTTAATAATTTATGCTTTACTCCTTTTCTTGTTCCATCTTTTTCTTTTTTTTGGGTACTTGCTGGTCTTTTTCACCTTCTGTTGCATTTCTTTTCCTTGATTCTTTGTTCAACCAAGCTCATTTTATATCTGGATACTTCAGGACCGCTTCATCGTCCGTCTCATCGTCGCCATCTGCCATCTCATCGTGTTCAGCGTGGCCATCTACACCAGACCAGCAGGAACCGAACTCCTGTCCTACAGAGGGCCAGTGGACGCGGTCAGTACTGGACCAACCATAGCCTAGCATAGTACTGCCGTAAGCTGACAAAACGCCTTTATTTCTTCACAGCAGTTTCGAGAAAAATGGTTTTTTCTTCGTCAGCGTTACCATTTAAAAGTAAAGTGATTTCTAAATTTGAATTTGAATTTATTCAAAAACAGGTGACAGTTTCACTTTAATATTTTTAACACAAGTAGGGTAACTGATCAGGCTTTCGATTTAGCGAATAAGAAATGTTGGCGGCAAAGTAAAAAAAAAGGCGTTTTGTCAGCTTAGGGCTGAATAATAGTTACTGTTGAACATAATTAGGCTAACATATTAAAATAATCGTTATGTACGTAATAATACCTAACATTTTCATGCACACCTTTTTCTACTACGAGTATTATGATGGCGTCAATTTGATAAAAATGGACAAGGAACCCCCCAAAAAAAGAAAAAAAGTACCATATTGAGCACTACTCTAATGTCCAAGACAAATACCTGAGAAATTGAATGCCCCTTCCACTTTCCTTCTAATCTTTTTTTTTTTAACAACATAATGACATTGTCCAAGACATCCACTTTTGTCTTCAACAATGGGTGGCGATCTCAGACAATATAAACCGTATATATCCTCAACTGCAATGATATTTGTTTTCTCTAGAAACCATTTTGCTATAATGCAACCTGTGCCTTTGGGAACGTGCAATTAAATTACGCCTGGCTCATCATGACAAGACAAATTTACTGATTTCACACATCTTTCGTGGGAAATATATTTCTGGCCAGGTTGCGGAAAATCCCGCTTAATCCATTTCCTGGGTAAATGTTTGTTTATAGCTTTTGTCCTCGCTTAAATGGTTCTTTCTGTAAAATGTTGGCTCCTATTTATTATCTCTTTTTTTCTGAAAGAAATAGATGTAGATAAGAAAAAGAAGGACATTGGTTTATGTCTATGACGTCAAGTGTCTATTGCGCAGATTGCCTCTTTTATGTTGTGCAGAAGTTGAAATGATATGTGAAGGGCGCTGGGTGAGTTACTTCTCAGATTCGAGACCAAAGGAACTTGATACGTCATGCTTATAGGTGAAGTTTATACATTTTATAGGTATGAAATAATTAAAGGCTCATTATACTTAAAGAATATGGCATCAATAGATGCTCTACAAATTTGACCCTAGTGTCGATTTTTGGCCAATATCTCCTTTTGAGAATTACGATATGAACTCATATTGTCAGCACGTCTCATTTTGTTTTCAACTATGTTTTACGTATGTTTAAAAACTAATGTTGGATTATGTGTTCTTGTCTAGCAAGACAAATAATGGGGAATGTATAAGTTTTACAGTACTTCTTTTCTCCATTTTTATGTAAACATCTTTATGATCATCATCGTCATTGCCTTTCTCACCCTGGATCAGAATATAGGCTACGAACAAACACTTCCCACCTTTCCCTATCCTCGACGAGTCGCTTGATGTCACTCCATGTCTTCCCACTTTTCTGTACATTCATTTCCGTGACTCTACTCCAGGTTCCACGCTGTCTTCCCTTTGATCTTTTTTACCCTGTGTGTTCCAATCATTATAACACTTTGCTTGTTATGCAGCGGCTTGACTTCCTGAAAGTGTGTCCAATCCATCGTCAACGCCTTCTTTCCACCTCATCTCGGACTGGGATCTGTCTCATTCTTCTTAGTACATGTACTTCCTCCTTAGTGATATCTTTATGACAGATAGCTCAAATAATGATGGCAATCATTGTATTCACACCCCCAACCCCCCTTACTTTAGGTCCGGTACACAGCTGAGATCATCGTCTGTATAAGTTGTCTCATCACCGTGTTCTACGAGGTCACAGAAATCAGCACACAAGGGATATCCAGCTTTTTCAAAAATTGTGTAAGTTTAGAACCGTTTGTGGTTACTTTTGTATTTCCTTTTTTCCTGCATAGGTTTTTTGGCTTGAGTGAAGCTTGCTTTTCTCTCTCTTTCCCTTTCTCATTCTCTTTTTTATAACCTACTCTCTCTCTCTCTCTCTCTCTCTCTCTCTCTCTCTCTCTCTCTCTCTCTCTCTCTCTCTCTCTCTCTCTCACTCTCTCTCTCTCTCTCTCTCTCTCCCTCTCTTCTACTCTCTCTCTCTCTTACTCTATCCCCCTCTCTCTTAGTCGTTCTTCCTCTGTCGGTCTGTCTGTCTGTCTGTTTGTCTGAATGTCTATCTGTCTGTCTGTCTGTGTTATATTATGTGACGTATGTCTAAGGCGCACATGCATGTGTGTGAAAAGTATCCTTTCACCATAGCACAAACTCACAAAGTCGTGTGACTCACAGTCTTATAGCAGAACTTGCACACCACAAGTGCTCACAGATAATATTTAATAATATGAGATCTCATGGATAGTCGTCTGCTCGAGCTCTTAGACTGAACTCCATCTGTCTGGTGGTCGTTAAAGTGGAAGGTATTTTATGAGGTCACTTTTAATTTTTTTGAAAAAAAAAATGTGTATAGTTATTTTTCGTTTCGTTTATTTGTATTGTCTTTTTTGTGAGTTACTGTTTTGATTTTGATTTAATTAAGTTTAATTTAATTATTTCTTTTTTTTTTTTTTTGGGGGGGGGTCATTTACATACCCTAAATATTCATAGGTGATTAAACAAGGAATTACACACACTTTCCATACAAACGAATTGATAGACCTGATAGTGTAATGAAAAGAAGACTATTACATGTTAATTAAAATGTATTAGGCCCAGGATAAATAAAATACAATTTAAAGCACAAATGATGGCGTTACCATCGCTTGCTCTTATTGTTCATCGATAGCACTTAATAAAAAGACATAGGTATGTTTGTGTTACTGTCGTTTCATTTTGTTTTGTTTTGTATTTTTTCTTTCTTTATTCAACCTGGGTACGTAAAGATTCTCCAATATCACAAGGTATTTTCCAACATTGCTACTCTTTTTTTATGCTAGCTACCAGATACTGAGAAAGCTTTGTTAATATCGTTTGCTTTTTTTCTACTTCTGACCGTAAGACTTTTCCTCTTGGGAAAATGTACAAGTTATATAAAACTTTTAATTTTAAAAAATTAACATCAAAATACGCTTCATGTGTTTGAAAAACTGTTATGTGAAATGTAAATTTCCTTGTAGTTTGATATCATTCACCTGGTCTTTCAAATAACATTGAACTTGGAACTTTCATTTTCCACCATTTATCTTTGGGTCAACTATCCTCTATGTTCTATCTAGCATAAAAATCTATCTTTGTGATTGAGTAAATAATAGTCATATTCAAGTTTGTTTTGTTTTTGTTTCCTAATTCTTTCTATTTATCTAACTGTTAACGTAACTGTTGAGATCGCGTGTCGGCCAGGGCTTTTGTTGAGCTGTTTTTCAGAGTTGTCTTTTTATAAATATTCTCTTTTTAGCTTTCATTAGGCCACCACCTACTATTATTTACTCGGGGGAGAAAGGTGGTCAGTCGGCTACTCCTGAAATACATAGTTCTATCTGCTTATTACCTAGAAATAGTTGGGAAAAATCTCACGAAACAGATTTTGCCCCCTCCTCTGGGCTCCTGACTCTTTCTGCAGCCTTTCTACCTCTACTCCTTGGCTTCTCCTTACTGCTGTCTTTCTGCCACACCCCTGATCTTCTGGTAGGAAAGATCTACACCTAGCCTTCTCGGACAAGGGCGAAAAATCTCGGAGGGCCCGTGTGCAAGTTGCTCACGTTAAAGATCCCTTGGTGGTCTAAAATCGATAAGAGTAGGCTTCGGCCACCACCCGGGCAAAATTCAAAATTTCCTACCAACTGAAAATATTAGGTGTGTCCCGCGCGCTCATATGACCTTATGCAGTTGCGAGCGCCGTAAAACACTTTACAAAAACAACCCCCCCCCCCCCCCACAGATTTTGAGTTTCACAACATGTCAAGCTTTTTCGAATGCAGTTCTTTGAATGTCTTGATTACGACTCAGAATAATCTTACGATTTTGATAGAGTAGATAGAACATTTGGTTTCTGACCTCAAGGTCCTAGTAACTCAAAACGGCCCAGAATGTCTGATAGAACTTTGTAGTTCTAAAGTAGCGCAATGTTTGTTGAGCAGTCTGCGGTATAAATCGCCCTGATAGTTCTCAACGCCCTGGTAGTTCAAAACGCCCTGATAGTTCAAAACTCCCTGATAGTTCTCAGTGATTGCAAGGTACATGTAGTTCCGGTCGGGTCTTGTTGTTGAAGGTAATCTTTGTTTCATTTAGTAGAGGTTTTACGGCGCTCGCAGCTGCATAAGGTCATATGAGCGCCAGATGAGGTGTTACAAGGGAATAACAAACATAAAAAGATGAAGGGGAGATAAAGACGATAGATGGTTGATAAGAAAGAAGGAGCAAACCACACCAGAGCACCCGCCAACCACCCACGAACGTATCTACTACCAATGGTGTGGCAATACAAGACAAAGCTCAATAAAGCTATTCCTTTATTCCTTTACCTACCCCCCCCCCCCCTATACCTTTACCGAGTTTTTTCACCGGGGCTTGAGGGGAAGGAAGGGGAAAGCGGGGTGGGGTGGGGGTTGAAGTGGAAGGAAAAATAGGGGAGGGGGATGACATAGAATAGTGCTGAAACAGCAAGAGTCAGTCTTAACCCGTAGCTAGTCACACAAAGTTGTAATATCTGCTAGTTTGTTCATGTCTATTTAGTGCCGTTGAATTTTATAGAATCGAGACTTGTTGGTACATGTATTTGTTCATATGGACAAAGATAGTACATAACAAGATGGGCCACTCAGCCAAAAAAGTGTCCGCCGGAAGTCCGCTCTTTGCTTCAGATGGCGCTGCAGTCTGTTTTGAAGCTCTCTTTCGTTTTTCCAGAAAAAAGAATAGGAATAGCACCTCCTTGCGTGCGCAGATCGACTGCTGTTCATCAGCAGTTCGGGTTCGTTCAGTGCGGAGTTTTAGGTTTTTAAATTTTAATGACCTCTAGCCTTTCATTCTAAAGTCAAATTAAACGAAGAAAACAGTCACCCTTTCCTCCGGAAGAGGTTTTTTTTTCTTTCAGCGCAACCATTTAATAAAGCGTTCTTTTGGAATTTGAATTCTTACTTATTCAAAAACTTGTTAGTTTCACTTTGATTTTTTAGACACAAGTAGGGTAACTCTGTTCGCAAAGGGTGCGCATTTGTGAAGAGGGCGCCACCGAATTTTGAGGACACTTTTTTAATAGGCTCAAAGAGAGGAGTGGCCCCTCTTGTTATGTAGACTCTTTGGTATGGAGCAAAGTGCGTCATTGTTTACATCAGCCAGTGGAGCGTTTAGAGCGTGTGCATTGATGTGCTTCTGCAGAGTAAGTTTTCTGTTTACATTGAACGTTATACGAACATTTTATTGACTCACTTTTGTTAACATTTGGGACGAATCGTGGTGAAATCAGGCGCTCGTCAAAAATAATAAAATCAAAGAAACAGGCATTTTCCCCCGCCAGTTTCGCCATTTTTATCGAATTTTTGTTAGTTGTTCAACACCTTTCATGTCCATATAAAAACACATTTCCATGTGAATTTTTACTGAAAAACGTTGATTAAAAGTAAGAAATATGTAATTTTTCAGTTTTCTGGGACTCTCAAGCTATTGAAGTTAACAAACTTTGGCGGCCATTTTCTCACTAATTCTACCACTCAAACTTGTCGACCGCACCTCGTTCAATCGCAATGATCTCGACTTTTGTTCCAGATAGATGAGTATTGTTTCATTGAAAACAGGGCAAATACATAAGCTTTCAGAGGACACCAATAACTCCACATGCCCAAAAATGGACGGGCGCCTGATTCCACCGCGTCCTGACACATTTACTTTTCCGATCCAGCGGCCATCTGAGTTCTGGCCCTCGGGTCACGCCAGTAATTTTGTGTAATAAAAGATGACTTTTTTTTTCATCACAAAGTTTCCAGTTCCCTGTATTGGTTCTCTGTCGGTGCCTGTGGTGTGAAGGTCTGGCTCTCTGCCGATAAACGCAGAGCACGGTATTTTGATTTCGGAGTCCGCATGTCGTTTCCTGAGTCTTCGTCTGTTTTTTGGGGGGGGGGGTTAGGTAGGTGTTTTACGGCGCTCACCACTGTATAAGGTCATATGAGTGCGCCGGACACGTTGAATAATTTTTCAGTTGGTAGGAAATTTTGAAGTTTGCCCGGGTGGCGGCCGAAGCCTACTCCTATCGACTTTTAGATCCCCAAGGGTTCTTTAACGCACGCAGCTTGCACACGGGACCTACGGAATTTTTCGCCCTTGTCCGAGAAGGCTAAGTGTAGATCTTTCTTACCATAAGATCAGGGGTGTGGCTGAAAGGCAGCAGTAAGAAGGAGCCAAGGAGTAGCAGTAGAAAGACTGCAGAAAGAGTCAGGAGCCCAAAGGAGGTGAAGGGGTGGGGGCAGAAAGTGGAGACGAAAGCAGACAACAGAGCATTGCTAGAGAGTAGGAAAGGAGGTGCAAGGAGACACTTTTTAGAAGAAAAATTATCCGTCGTTACCTGGATTCGAACCCGGGACCTTTGAATATAATTATGCTGTGTCTCAGCCAGCAATAGCCTGGCAGGTGGGATCGAAATTAATAGACCTGTTTCTAAATAATATACTTATACTATTTTGTCAACGGGGGCATAAAATATTTGCAATCCCAGCTGGGGTTTTATTTAAAGAGACAGTAATAATTGAGATATCGATTCCACCTGCTAGTTTAAAACACGGCGCACATTTAATTTTCTACCTTAGTCTTGTTTCGATATCTTAATATATTATAAAGTGTGGAAATGTTTTGAAAATGTTCAAAAGAAGAGGCAAATTTGTGCTTAATCATGATGATTATAACGCAAGCATTTGATTGTAATCCTTTTGATCTTTATCGGGTTCAACGTTTTCCCCATTCCTCATTTTTTCGAGATTGTCATTTGTCTATTGACAAGGCGCTGCCTCTGGCTCCCCGCCTCTTTG